TCTTACGAATAGCCATAACAGAAGGAAGGACTGAGAAAAATATTTCATCCTCAAGGTCAAACATCATGACATACAATCATCATTTATCTGAGGTTTCATCAGCCTTTTGTGCTGCTCTTTATACTTACAGTAATCTTTGCTCTTTCTCACCTCAATGATTTCTAACTTCAGACACACAGTTTTACTTCTTGTTCACTGAAACTTACCTCCTTTTAGGTGAAAAATCAGTAAAATAAACAAGAAATTAAAGCGCTTCAGGGTCTGCTACACAAATCAGCTGGTGAGTTTATTGCCAGTCAGACCCAGCCAGCTGTGTTTAGACTCAACGGAAGTGAAACCCTAATGCCATGAGATAGAAACAAATGTGATATCTGACAACACCTTCACCCCAAACTTCTAAACTTTAGTCACTCACCATGCCAAAGAAAACTTTTTTAAACAATGCAGATTAAAGTCGAACATGGCAGATAAGAATTACAAAAATTCGACTAAAGTTGAGTGTGGCAGTGAAAGAGTTAAGGGCATGACAGCTTAACAGGGGGAAGCTTTGCGGTGTCCCCCCCTCCCTTGGTGCCCTAAGGACGTGGTTGTTTTGCTTAATGGTTAATCTAGGGCTGCTTCTACCATTGGAAAACAATTCCAGTTCCTGGGTTACATTCCAGTTACTTGTTCCAAATAGCCAGCTTTAGTTGAGCACCTGTGTCACTAGAGGCTACACGGATACAGAATGCCTCCCCTTCACCTGGGACTAGCCTTACTGACATGTTAATGTGGATTTGGAGCCACCCAGAGCAGAGACCCCAGTGGGACTTCAGCCTCATTGTCTGTCATTCCATAACAGCAGGATCATGAGAACACTTTCCTCGGGGATGAGCCCTAATGAATAGGCACACGAGTATGATTTTCAGCAGAGCAGCTCTGGAGTATCCATAGAAGCATGGTTCTCAAACTTTTTGAAGTGCGGCCCGCTTTGTATCTATGCTACTTTTCAAGGCCCATGTGCAAAGTAAGTTTGTGCCACTTTCCCCCTTCCTAACTCGAAATGGCCGAAACTCATAACAACGGACACTGAACATGTTAATAATTCATTCACCAATTTTAGTATGGCCATCTTGCATGTTCTATGCAGAGGCAAACCCACATTTGCAATGGAGACTCCTAAAGCCATCTAACCCTACCTTGTGACCCATCTGCAAGAAAGCAACAACCTGCTTTTGGGTTCCTGATCCACAGTTTGTGACCCTCCACCATAGAACACTTTTGGCTTCAGGTCATTGGATGAGGTCACACAGCCCTGTTATGGAAAGCCAATAGGAGACAGCTGTATTTGCATAGAAGTGGGGAAAATTTGATTCCTGGGGAAGAATTTAAGAGAACAGATGAGCAAAGGTCTCCCAGAGAAAAGGAGTGTGGGACAGTTGTTTTTGCAATGATGTGGGTCCCTTTGGTTTTCTTCTTGGGGGTGTTATGCTCAGGTAAGGAAACTGCAGTGGTTGAAATACCGATTCAAGACTGAGAAGCTTAAATCCAAATGCAGATTTGCCAGTCAATGTGTTTTAGTCATGACAGTGTTGGATTAGGATCTGAGAGAATCGGGGTTTGAATCCCCCCTCTGCCACGGAAGCTTGCTGGGTGACTTCTCTTATTGTAGTGTTGCTATTGGGAGGCTTACGGGGGGGGGAGAGAACCCTGTTGTAGGCTGCTTTGGGTTTCCATTGGACAGAAAAGCAGGGTATGGACAAAAAATATTCAATTGTCCCTGATCTTGTTTTAGGTTCCAGGTCCCAACTAGTAGTGACCCAGCCACCTTCACTAACCAGTGCTCCAGGATCGACAGTTCAGATCTCTTGTGCAATGAGCAGTGGCTACAGCATCAGCAGTCAAAGAGTCCATTGGTACCAGCAGAAATCAGGGGGTGCTCCACTGTTTCTCTACCACTATTACACCAGCAGTGACCAAGGCAGGGGCTCAGGGGTCCCCGAGAGATTCACCGTGTCCCCTGACACCTCCAGAAACCTCTGGAATCTAGTCATCGCAGGAGTTCAAGCTGAAGATGACGCTGATTATTACTGTTGTACTTGGGATCTAAAGCTCAGCTCGTATCACAGTGATTCGTCATGGGGAACTGAGACGAAAACCTTTCCTGTGTCACACAGTATTCATGCATCAGCAGACAAATCTGCTTTGCGCTGACAAAACAGAAGAAAAGAAAATTAACTGCTATTATTATTATTGTTATTGTTATTGCTGTTGTAGTAGTAATAGTAATAACTGTAGTAGTATTACTGTTATTTACAATATTGATTAACGTAGTGCCTTCCATGCTTTGAGCACTTCACATACTTTAATGCAGTAAATACTGTTGTACCTAGATGGGATAACAAGAAAGTGCTCTTTACACTTACAGTAATCTTTGATCTTTCTCAAATCCATGATTTCTTATTCCAGATACATGGTTTTAGAAGAAGAGATTGGATTTATGCCCCTCGGTTCACTATCCGAAGGAGTCTCAGAGTGGCTTACAATCTCCTTTCCCTTCCCCTCCCCACAACAGACTTTCTGTGAGGTAAGTGGGGCTGAGAGAGCTCTTTGAGAACTACTCTGAAAGAAGTTGTGATTGACCCAAGGTCACACCAGCAGCTGCATGTGAAGGACTGGGGAATCAAACCCGGTTCTCCCAGATTAGAGTCTGCCCTCCTAACCACTACGCCCTCCTAACCACTACACCAAACTGGTTCTTTTTTACATCTTGTTCACTAAAACTTAACGTTGTTCATGTGAAAAATCAGTAAAATAAATAAGTAAATAAAGAGTTTATGGGTTTGCTGCACAAATCATCTGATGAGTTAAATGCCAGCTGTGTTTACACTCAATGGAAGCGAAACTGTCATGACATGAGATGGAAACAAATGAGATATCTGACGACACCTTCAAAGCAAACTTTTAAATTTCATAACAATGTAGATTAAAGTCAAACACGGCAGATGAGGACCGTTACAAAAAATGCTACTAAGGTTGAGTGTGGCAGTGAAAGAGTTAAGGGCACGACAGCTACAGGGGGAAGCTTTGTGGTGTCCCCCCTTCCCGTGGTGCCCTAAGCACCTGCTTATTTTGCTTAAGGGTTAATCCAGGGCTGCTTCCACCATTGGAAAAAAACTGCAATTCCTGACCTAATTCCAGTTATCTGTTCCAAGTAGCCAGCCAGCTTTAGTTAAGCACCTATGTCACTAGAGGCTACACGGACACAGGATACCTCCTCTTCACCCAGGACTAGCCTTACTGACATGTTAATGTGGATTTAGAGCCACCCAGAGCAGAGGCCTGACATCTCCAGGGGGGCTTCAGCCTCATCACCTGTCTTCCCATAACAGCAGAATGTGAACAACACTATCCAAGCAGGTGGGCACATGAGTATGATTCTCAGCAGAGCAGCTCTGGAGTACCCATAGAAGCATGGTTCTGAAAGTTTTTGAAGTGGAACCCATCTCTGTATCCAGGGGTCATTTCGTAGAAA